CACCAATGCCTGATTTTTAGAGGAAGACTATATGAGTGAGCATAAGTCCAAGAGTGAGATTATTCTAAATGAGTTGAGGGAAGACAATAGCATACCGAGTGTGCAAGAGGATATACCACAAGAGACTGCACAACGTGTTGACTCTGATGTATTTACACCTGCATTGCCTCGTCGCAGTGGGAGGGTTGTTCGTCAGCCTGATCGTTTCATGTTTGTGGGAGAGTCCTCAGACTTCATCCCAAGTGACCAGCATGATTGTGACCCCTGGACCTACAATGAGGCAATCCAAGATGTAGATGCATGATCTTGGCAGAAATCTATGGATTCTGAAATTGAATCTATAGATGCTATGGAGGTATACGACCGTAGGGACCTTCCCGAAGGCAAGAAAGCCATTGGGTGTAAATGGGTCTATAGGCGTAAGAGAGGATCTGACGGGAAGGTTATTTCCTTCAAAGCACGGTTGGTTGCAAAGGGTTTCACTCAGAAAGAGGGAATCGATTATGATGAGACCTTTTCACCGGTAGCCGTGCTTAAGTCGATCTGGATTCTCTTATCCATAGCAAGTCACATGGACTATGAGGTTTGGCAAATGGATGTCAACTTAACGGAAACTTGGATGAAGACATCTATATGCAGCAACCCGAAGGTTATGTGAAGAAAGGCCAAGAGCATCGAGTATGGAAGCTAAAGAAGTCTCTTTATGGACTAAAACAAGCTTCTAGGTCTTGGAACATTCGCTTTGATGAGGTGAACAAAACAAGAAAAATCACAATCACAGAAATCTAGAGTTTGCCATTAAACACTAGAGTTCGATTAAATCAAGGTGGATAGATCCTAAGCCCCAAATAACAAGTTCAACATAAGTAGTTTCGTTGACACATGTGTACCATTTACATATCAAGTATTTTCATTAATACTTAATCAAACATACCTTAAGCAGCGCGGCGTGACGGAGACGAGTGGTCATAATACAAGGTCTAAACACATAATCACATTTAAACCAGTCTACAAAAATGCAGACTGGCTCCGATACCAAACTGTAACACGCCAATTTATTTTATTGAAATCCCGGGCTTTCCAAAAATCATGTAAACAATTTTCGAAATTATTTTCAAAAATACATGGGTGTTAAACAACAATTTACTTAGTCCAAGTCTTATCTGGATACACGGGGATTCATAAACCTGATTTTTCACAAATGTTTTCTGTAATATCCCGACTATTAGTATAAATTATATTTTTAGTTCCGATATTATTTTTCGGAATTAATTATTTTCAGTTATTTCAGTCGAAATTACCAGAAATTATTTTCGACGTACCGTTTACGTTCGAAATAATTTTGGTAATTAAGTATTAGGCTTAATTAATTGATTAAGCCTTAATTTGTGATTAATGGTAATTAATCACCATTGGCATTGCTAATTGCCGTGCACTATAGACTCCTTTAGCTGTGTGGTTCTAATGCATAGTAGTGGATAATCTTTGCTATTCCAAGTCCTTAAATGCCGTGCTACATGTGGTATTGTAGTCAAGATTCCTCCTTTGTCCTATGTGCCGTGTGGTTAAGTGTGTATGTTAGAGATTTTGGTCCAAGATGCCTTCCTCATTGTCTTCTAGTGCCGTGTAAGTGAGTGATGTATATTAGTGCATTTTGTTCAAATTTCCTTCTTTGTTTTCCAAAATGCCGTGCATGTAGTGGGTATTTGTTCAAGCATTTCTTCTTCATTTTTTTGGCATCATCTAGCATGTTGTGCCATGTGTCTTAAGCTTTAAGTTGCATGGGTGCTAAGTGTCCTTAGCCATTGACCATGTCATTCTCCCTCACTTGTCTTTCCTTCGGCCATCTTATAAGAGTGGACTTGAAGAAATTTCCATCTTCTTGCACGCCCAAGTTTATAATGACGATAGATTAGAGAGCATATTGTGTGGGTTGGAGTATTGTTCGTGAGCTACCGCCAAGAGCCGCTCGCACCATAAGCCATCGCACGCTACGCCGCGAGTTATCGCATGACAATCGCACGCACGTGGAGGGTCACGGCCGAGTACGGTAGTTCGAAGAGATTAGTCACTTGAGCCTAATAAGAGGTAACTCCCGACGGTTGTAGACCGAGACTATCATGTTATTTAGTTCGATTTTTCTGTTAGGCGCTCATGCGTGTTATTGGTAGTATAAGCCGTAGCTGTAGCCGTGCCGACCATGTCATGTTATAAGTTATTTTCTCCGGCCATTCTTGCATGTTTAGCCTTTATTTGCAATATCATGTTTAGATTAGCTATAATGTTCGGATAATTAGCCATGAGGTGGTGCTTTGGTCGAAGAGGTGTGGTCGCACACTTAGTGCGCACCACGGACCGCTCTCGTGCTATTGCATGTTAAGTTAAACTCTCCGATTAATTATGGGTTATCATGTTCAGTAAAGTCATGTTTAAGCTCAGTTAATTTATATTGCCGAGAGAATATGAGTATGGGTCGTGGAACGGCTTAACGCCGTAGGCGGCGCACGGCGCTGATGCGGAAGTGGGTTTCGAGCCCCAACGAGGAGATGGTCCATAGGAAGGTAACATTCGGGCGCAAGAAAGGGCGTATTAGAAAAGGGCGAGAACACGCGCATTGGCGTAAACGCGCATGGCGCAACGGGGCTACAAGCGATGGCGCGCCTTGGGCGTGGGATGAACGAGGGGAAGCGCTGGGCGCACGGGGGGCGCGGTAGGCGAGCAGGCCGCGGGCGTTAGAGGTACGCGCGGAGTAGTAGGCGACTGACGTGTGTATCGTGCTGGGCGTACGGGTAGCGTGTACGCGGGTGAAGGCCTAGGCCCAGTAGGCCTAGGATTGGCGCGACAACACACGCGCAAGGAAGCCAACTGGGATGGGGCGTGCGCATGGGCGCACGAGTGCGATGCGGGCGATGTCCTAAACCACGTAGGCATAGGGGTGCTGGACGACGAGTGCGGGGCGTACGGCGACACGCGCGAGGCACAAGGCAAGAATATGGCGGCATGCCTAATCCTCGTAGGAATAGGCAAGGTGCGAATACTAATCCTTGCAGGAATAGGAATAGCGGATAGGGGCTCAAAGCATAATCCTACAAGGAATAGGAGTGGTGCAGCAGGCACGAGAGACCTAGTCACCAAAGGACTAGGCGAACATGGCAGCGACGCGCGAGACGTGGCACACGGACGGCGGCATGCCTATGCGCGGTAGGCATAGGCGAAGTGCGCGTGCGAAGCAAGCAAGGCGCGCGATGCCTCGCGCGCCAAGGAATAGGATAGCCGAGGGCGGCGCGCGTAGAGGCGGACTTGGACATGCGCAAGACTCAAGCTTCTAGAAGTACTTGGTGTGCAAGTCAAGACATTAGGAGATCTAGTAGATTTAGGAATTTATGGTAGTAGGATATTTACTAGCCTTAGGATTTAATATTTAATTGTTTTATTAGTTTCCTAGTAAGATTAGAACTAGAGGTAGTTGGCATCTATAAATACCCCATGTACCTCATCATTATTTGACATGTTGAATGAAGTATTGAATTGGTGAGCCAATCTTGAGGGGGAACTTTATGTTCTTAACATGTGATAAAGAAGACCATTAGTGCGTCTTTACATACAGTGTCGGAGAGAAGGCCAATAGTGCGTCTTGAAGTCACGGTATCTAGAAGAAGGCCCTGAGTGCGTCTGCTAGATACACCTATCGGGGATAAACGAAGGCCGCAGTGCGTCGTTTATTTGCAACCCAAGTATAGACAGAAGATCGATCCGTCATCATTGGTGCTTTCATAGAGAGATGCTGATCGATTTTTTGTCTATTTTATCTTTTATTTTTTTCGGTTTGCCTTTTGTTGAGGGGCCGAATTTCTCTTTATTTTTTGTTGGGGTTCGAATTTTTGTTCGAATTTTCCCTTTTTATTTTCGAATTTGAGTCAAAAAAAAAGCGTCATCTTGTTAGTCCTTTGTTATTTTTTCGGTTATTACCTTTTTTTGAGGGGCCGAATTTCTCTTTGTTTCGATTTTTTGAGTCTTGTTGGGGGTTCGAATTTTTCGAATTTTTTTCCCTATTATTTTCGAATTTTTTTGAGTCAAAAAAAAAAAAAAATCATGTTGTTCGAGCCATTAGTTGAGTGGGATCAAGAGGATCTTGAATATTTGGAAGGATTGGAGAGGGAATTAACCCCATGGGAGCAAAATTATTTAGAGGAGATGTATGGGCAAAAGAAGGAGTATGAAAGACAACAAGATCATGAAGGAGTTCGTCGAAGAAGAGCCATTGTTTGAGTTTGATCTATCGAGCTATGTTCAAGACAAGGCAGTCGAGTGTGAGGTCGACCAAGTCGAGTGCGAGGAACCGTTTTTCGCCCACGAGTTCATGAACGAGGATGTAGACGAGGCGATGGGCGATGTCAAAGTTGAAGTCTTGGTCGATGTTCGAGAAGGGATCGATGTTGAGGGTTAAGCGGCGCACATCGACGGCGAGGCCGGAAGGAGTCGAAGGGGCCGAGGTCATTGGTGCGATCTTGGTCGTGGATGGTGGGTGCAAAACGTGCGCGCGGGAACAGCGCGCACAACACATCGAGGTCGTGGCTGGAGGATCCGAAGTGCTCGCAGTCGGCGAGAAGATGAGCGTGGAGGACAAAGTAATCGATGTTGCAAGTGAGATTATGGTCGAAGAGATGTTCGAAGTTGAGATGTTGGTCGCGGTCGAAGCGGGCAATGATGAGGAGGCGTACGCACAATATGGTGTGGATACACGTATGGTCGAAGAAGATGTGCCCGATGCTTGGATGGTTGAGCATGAGTCCTTGAGGACAAGGACATTCTCAAAGGGGGCGGGAATGATGCGGAAGTGGGTTTCGAGCCCCGACGAGGAGATGGTTTATAGGCAGGTAACATTCGGGCGTAAGAAAGGGCGTATTAGAAAAGGGCGAGAACACGCGCATTGGCGTAGACGCGCATGGCGCAACGGGGCTACAAGCGATGGCGCGCCTTGGGCGTGGGATGAACGAAAGGCAGCGCTGGGCGCACGGGGGTGCGCGGTAGGCGAGCAGGCCGCTGGCGTTGGAGGTACGCGCGGAGTAGTAGGCGACGGACGTGCGTATCGTGATGGGCGTACGGGTAGCGTGTACGCGGGTGAAGGCCTAGGCCCAGTAGGCCTAGGATTGGCGCGGCAACACACGCGCAAAGAAGCCAGCTGGGACGGGGCGTGCACATGGGCGCACGAGTGCGATGCGGGCGATGTCCTAAACCGCGTAGGCATAGGGGTGCTGGGCGACGAGTGCGGGGCGTACGGCGACACGCGCGAGGCACAAAGCAAGAATATGGCGGCATGCCTAATCCTCGTAGGAATAGGCAAGGCGCGAATACTAATCCTCGCAGGAATAGGAATAGCGGATAGGGGCTCAAAGCATAATCCTACAAGGAATAGGAGTGGTGCAGCAGGCACGAGAGACCTAGTCACCAAAGGACAAGGCGAACATGGCAGCGACGCGCGAGACGTGGCACACGGACGGGCGGCATTCCTATGTGCGGTAGGCATAGGCGAAGTGCGCGTGCGAAGCAAGCAAGGCGCGCGATGCCTCGCGCGCCAAGGAATAGGATAGCCGAGGGCGGCGCGCGTAGAGGCGGACTTTCACATGCGCAAGACTCAAGCTTCTAGAAGTACTTGGTGTGCAAGTCAAGACATTAG